CAAATCAGAAGTTTGTGCATATTTTTAATTAAACAGTTTCACTCAAACTTCAATCAAATATGAATGCAAAATCAAGTCTGCCAATAATAATAATTTCAGCTGTACAGAAATATATGTTTCTGTCTATGAGTCAGATGTTTAATAGATGTGAGCATTTGCAGGCAGCAGACATGCATTGTGAGCAGAGGTAATCAAAAAGCGCCGTGTTTTATAACCACATATTGTAAATTAACCTGTCTTCTAAGAGTGTCAAACACTCCTGATCTGTCGCAGATTGATTTCTTTACTAATTTTTATTTTCCAATACATGGAAGATTTTCCCAAAGACAAAAAGTTAAAGTTTTTCTCGTTCATATTTATTTAAGAACCATTGGGTTGAAAGAAACCTTTGCAGTAATAAGCGACCACACCTGTCCCATTAATGAAGTTGATTTGCAGTCCACAGGTGAATTAAGAGGACGGTCGATTTCACATCTCAGATGTGTGCAGAATAAAAACAGCTCACGAGATCTGAATCCACCAATTAAACCCGCTTGTTTATGGCTGCTTCTGTTGGTGGTGGAGCATTATAGTATGATGTTCAAACGGATATTCAAACACAATCACCCTACGAATGTAGGTCCATAATGCCTCTTTAAAGTTAACATATTCAGGTTCTGACAGATGAAGCTAATGATAGAGTCGAAAAGCTGTTGTATTCTGTTTTTCTGAGGTTCTAATATTTCAACACACCAGTAGAAACAGTGTCAGGTTTTAATACTAAGCTCTGCCCTCCAAGGTCAGGCCCGATCTGTACCATCATTATTTGCAGTCAACTGTTACAGCTACAGCATGGTAATCTTCCCTCTAGCCTTTCTCCAGTTGTTTTCCTCGACTCGTTATAAAGGTGCATGAACCTGTGTGAGGAAAAATGGTACTGAACTGTCCACAAACAGAGATCAGGAATGTGAGAAACTGTGGAAATCTGCACTTTTAGAGGGGATTGAACTTGTTGTCGTGATAATAAGAGCTGTAAATATGCAGCCTATGATTGTTCTTGTCAGCTTTATACTGTTCTCAAAAGTCAAGAAGAAAAACATGAATTAATTTCATTGGTCACTAATATATAGCTTTGTTTTCACTGAATCTGCATCCTCATTAAAATTAGAACTCAAGACAGTGTGGATGGACAAATTCATTGTCAAGGTAATATCACAGGGTTAATCTCAATCACAGCTGTTATATTTAAACAAGTAGTTTTATTTTTATTTTTTGGAAGCTGCTGTAACAAACTAAAAACACAATCATATTACAATGCTGTTGATTTTCTTTGACTACTTAATCTCTTTGTTGGGGTTGGGAGTGTGGCACAGCTATACAGAACAAGCCCTCATTTATTATAATATCTGGTCATGTAATAACAGATGTTTACAGATTTCAATCCATTTCTAACTATTTCCCACCATACTTACTGTGGTCTGAATCATTTAATGAGTGTGTAAAATGTACAGCTTTTTCCAGTGATCTGGTTTCTTGTAACACAGAGAAATAAGCAAAAATGTGTCACTACAAGCCACATGAGAACACTCAGTCCACTTATTGAGAGCTACAATAATAAATACACGGAGAAGCTGCTGTGTTTTTGATTGAAGAATTTACATTGACTTTATGCCTACCATCTACAGCAGTCAGAATGTCTGCCGCGCTCTTCCATATCCTAGAATGAAAACATATACATGGCTATGTTTAACTCAGACCCGGACAAGCTTAGATCCCATTCTCACCACATGAGAATCACTCTGGAATTCTTTTGAAACTGGACTGAGACCACCTCTGTCATGGTGTGCTGTGTGGCAGGATGTTGGACCCAAAACGCAGGACTCATAAACGGAGGAGTAAACTCAAAACTCAGCTTTAATGCTGGAGAACTTCACATCCAAACACAAAGCAAAACTAGAAACTAAACCAGGAATTGAAAACTTGAATTGACTTGAAACACAGAGGGAAGAAACACATAGTATAGTGAGAGTATGACGCAACAGCAGACAGAGGAAAACACAGGGCTTAAATATACAAGGGAGTAATGAGGGAATGGGAAACAGGAGGGAAACACAGCTGGGATTAATTAGACATAACGAGACAATGGGAAGCAAAACTAGACACACTGACATACCGCACGAGACTATCAAAGCAAAACAAGAAACATGACACATACGCAAAGACACAGACTCAGAGACATGGGCTTCACACTGAGACATGACTGAGTCGGAGTCAGAGGGAACATAGAGACAAGGGTCACGAGACATGAGGCGTGGGACCAGGACAGGTACAGAGAAAACATGGGGACAGAGACTAAACACAGGCTAAGAAGAATACACAGGAAGGAAGAACTAAGATCACTGAGCATAAATGAAAGATAACCAAAACCAGGAATAACAATCATCAAAGAATATTACCCAGTAACTGAAACACAAATGTGACAACCTCCTCCACAGGGTTTTAGTCTGTGTAGCTGTTTTGGCCCGTTTAGATTTTTTTTTTTCTAAACTAGTCATAACCATAGCCACTCCCACTTTTAACCACATACAGTCTGAGTGGTAATTTAAAGATATAAAAAAAATATGTATCTGGGCTGTATATAAAAAAATAGGTATGATTTCCAGGAAATGAAAAATGAACTCATTCTTTTTAATAGCCTCCTCTGATTGCAAAAACAAATCGAGTTGTAGAGAAATTGTGGGGCTAATGATCTTAATCGCTAGTGCCTCATCTTATTTACATGATGCTCATAAATAAAGGTCAGTTTTAGAGTAAAACAGAAGAGCAAAACGAGATATTCTTCAGAGCCGAACCACCTTTTAATTGGCAAGTCGCTGAAACATGAGGGTCCCTTGGTTTCTCAGATTCATCCTTTCCACATCACATTTGATTTCGAAAGACTAAGCTAGCAACAGTTAAATTACTTGAAACAGGATTTCATTAACCAGCGGCTCGTGTCATGATGACTACCTTCATCTCTGATATACAGTCTGTGTAGTTTTCAGCAGTTATGTCTGGCGATGAACCTAACACTTAGCTTATAAATCAGTAGTGTATTTCGCACATTCTTTGGGATTTTCAGTTGTTATTTTAATGCTTAAATTATTATTTTTAATTATGTTCTTCTATCAGATAATAAATATACGCCGATACCAGTATGTCTGTGACTGGTCACTTTAAGCCGATATTGGTTCAGCTCCAGAAAACAGCATATAACCACTTTTAAAGAAAACTGTAAGAATAATTTTTAATAGCTGAGATTGTTCTACTGCTTAATTCCCCACCCAGATTTTAGACTGGTACAGAATGGAGTGTGACAACCATGTGGAGCTGTCATACACATTTTGCTCATTGTTTTCAGCATCTACTTGTCTACTAGATGTAGTGGAATAATACTCTGCTGTACACTACATTATTGTGACCCTGGCACGAGCAGAGACTGACTCAACGAGACGCATCTTCTCATATCTTTTGCCTCTCAAGTTTTCCTCCCTATTTTAAATCAGACTCAAGTTCTGGCAAAGATAAGGGTCGTGACATTTAAATGGGCAAGTTTTTGAACTGACTTTATCTGATTTGCTCTTTATCGACTGGATGTCGGCTGTGGTCCTAGCCGTTGTTGTCTGTCACTCTGATAAAATTGCCAATCCGTTTATCTGGCATTTAACAAACCCTGCCAATGAGTGACCTCAGAGATGGACCAGGTCCAGGGAACAGGCTGGCCTTTTCCGGATATCCATTAACTGTAAAACCACAGCTTTACAGTAAAAGCGGCCTCTCTCCATCCTCACATTTTCCAGCAGAAGTTATTAGCACGAGTCTGCCGGTGTTCCACTCCAGTAGACTGATGACCGATTTCATTAGTTCCCTCAAGTGCCAATCTGCCCTCTAATGTGACAGCAAGAGACAGACTAACATGCCTTCTGTGGCCTCTTCAGTTCAATCCACTGTGCCCTTGAGGTAAATAACTGGGACATAGACGCTTTAGAGAAATTCTCGCGGTAAGCATTGCAGCGATTAAGATTCGGGTGTGGTAGTGCCACAGTTCACCTTGGGCATTAAACAGTTGTTGGCTCTGCTGAGATTGGGACACTGCAACAGCTACAGCCGATGATACACACGGTCAAGTGCTAAAAAGAGTTGAGGACGAGGTGAAGGCAGAGAATAGGAAGGGAGGAAGGGAAGGCGGCGCCGAGCCTGTTTCCTTCTCCTGGTTCTGTCTGTACAAACACAGGCAGACACAGACCCTGAAGCTGTGACTTTGAAGTTGTCTTTGATTAAGGAGTTAATTAAAGAAAAGCTGCATGCAGGCTAGCAGATAACTGAGAAAAGAAAGGGAAGAGACAGTGAGAGAAAAGGAGCGGAAGAAGTGATATTGGCATTTATAAGTTGCCAGAGAGTTTTTATGATTGACAGAAAAACCAGCTGGCACTACAGAGATGGATATAAAGGCTGTAAACGCCACCCACATGTGTGAACAGCACAGTATCTGTCCTCCTGCAAGCTGTGGTGCTGGCACCACAAAGCGCAAATGATAATAGATGGTAGTTGGACAGCTGGAAAAGGGAAGTAGAATGATAATTTATATGAGGAATTAAGGGCTTGATGGATAGTTTTGTGTGTATGGGATTGACATCTTATGTCTGCCTTGATCTGTTTCCTGCCACTCGAACACGCCTCCTACTTCTGTAACATCTACTTCTTTCTGGTTTTCTTTCTTCATCTCATCCCATGTTCTCCTTCTCCTCCTCTTCCTCCTCCATCAGGCATGGCCTCGTCTTTCACTAAAACATCTCTTAATTGTATTTAACTGCCTCCACCACCACTCCTCTCCCTGACCTGTTCTTCACCCCTTCAGTTCAGCTTGCTTCTTCACTCCATCACCAAAATAAATAAACAAGACATCAAAATCAATTTTAAAAATAAAATAATACAAGTCCTGATTGCCTTTGTCAATCATTTGTCTCTTTTCTTTTATCTAGTCTGGCTTTTATAAGGGTGTGGCAGGCTCACAGGTAACCCTGTCCAGTCTAGTGAATCAATCCCGTGCCATGCTGGAGGAGCAGGCACGCCACCTGCTGACAGAGGCGGAGCGACAGACCATGGTCTACTACGTGGAGGAGTACCGGGACGGACACATAGGAGTGGAGCAGCTGGTCATGGCGCTGTTTGAGCTGCTGAACACGCACGCAAAGGTAATCTATGAGGAGGCTTGTGTGAGTCTGACAAAGTAAAGAGAAAGATCAGAAGAGAATACATTTTCTGCCTGTGTTCTCCTGTAAAGTCTCTGTGTGGGATTGAAGTTTTCTTAGCTCTTCTGAGATTTATGCTTGTTTTATTTTTCCTTCCTCCCCAGCTCTTAAAAGTGTTGTGATTTTCTCATAGTCTGCAGAAGTTCACCTTATAAAAAAACACGATAAATCAAAGACATTTTATTTCCAATTTCTTAAGTACACTGCAGTATCATGGGCCGACAGAAAGCCTGTGCAAATGGCATTAATGTATTTAGAGATACTGTACGAGCAAGTACACCAAAAAAGCAATTTCATTTAAAAAAATAATTTAGAAAACTAGATTTTATTCAACTTCAATGAGCCAAAGTGACCACAAAATAAAGCTAATGTATAAATAAAGAAGCTCCATCTTAGTGCACTTAGTTTTCTCAGTATAATGTGTAAAATGTACCAAAAAAACCCACAAATGAAAAAAAAAAACACACACAATTTACAGTAATTTCAAAAACCAGCCTGTGTTGGTTGTTTTTCACAGGTAAACCTAACACTGAAAAATCCCTCATTTCATTTTCACGCAGGAAATCTTTTAACATAATTCTCTGTATCTGACACCGTTTTTCACATGAAGCCAAATACCTCATGCACTACGTACTTTTCATCTAACTGGAGAATGTGCCCAGGACTGGATTGTGCTCCAGCTTCACCATGGTTACTGCAGCTGATCTGATGCCATTGTAGACAGTCTGTGTTGTCGACTGACTGCACATATGGAGTGACTCATTCCCAGCTCTTTTGTCCACTCTGCTATCCTTAGGCATTGGATCTATTTTTATCAGAGCCGCTGATGCAGCTCACTTAAGAGCGTAGATTAATGCCATTCATTATTAGCAATTAACCTAAAACTCAGTGGCGCATTTTATTTGTTTCTGACTTTGTTTAAACAAACCAAATTATGTTTGTGGTTAGAGAGAAAGAAGCAGGAGATAAAGGGAGGGAATAAGGGAAGGAGACCACCTGTCTGATTGTGTTTGGCCTTTCTCTGCTCTCTGCAATGACTTACTGCACCTTAACAAAGTCATATTCACAACACAGTTGTTCTCATTTACATATTTGCCAGTTCAGACAGTAAAATGGGAATGCAATTTGCGCACAAATACTCTGTTGACCGGCAGTCATTACCAGTCTGCTCAGCTGCAAATTTAATTATTTTATATTCATTGCATCACCAAAAGCGTAAACACAAATACAGGTTAATGACAGGAGTGTTGCTGCTAGATCAGCTAAAGTAGAAAGAAAATATGGTCTGCTGGTATATGGTTGCATCTGTAGAGTTATGATGATACACGGTTTAATTTTATTTTGGTTTTCTACATCAAAATAATGTATTATTCAAATAGTTCAGTCTAGGGCTAGTTACAATATCAGATTTTTACTACACAGTTATACAGCGAGTGTGTTATCAAGGAAAACATACTTGTTACTGTCTAGGAGCAAAATATCAGGAAAACTCATTGGGTTTGTTTATTGTGTGTTCTGTCCCTTTTCCGTGTAACTGTATAACTATAACCACAGAAAAAGAACCACTGTGGCATGACTTACAATATTATCATGTATAATTTATATGTATTGTACAGTTCTGTGCAAAAAGTCTTGAGCTGTCCGTTGCTTTTTATATTTTGCTTTCAAGAAATCAAAATTTTCCTTGTAATTTTTAAAGTGGTCTTTCAGTGTAAACTGCTTTTTCACTCATTGTCAGTCCCATCTTTCTACCTGAGCCTTTTATTTGTGGGGTTTTTTTGTTTGTTTGTTTTTAGTTAAGCCACTTACACACTGTTCACAGATGAAAAATGCACCTAAGTGAAGAGATTAATCAGTGTTTTGTCTTCAAATAACAGACAATTACCAAAGAACCAATTTTAAATTTTAAATATATCTTTGAATTTTTAATATGAGCCTGTCACAAAAATCTAATAATTTGAGAGTGACCTAATCAAGAAGCCATTCTTAAGGAAGGAAACAGGAGGAAAATGTGAGATGTGTTAAATTACAAAAAAAACTGGACTAAAAATTAGCAGCAGCAGGAATAATGGATCCAAATTTGAAATATTTGGCTCAAATTGTCATCAATAAGTACATAAGAGGTCAGGAGAGAGGTGCAACAGTGAGTGTCTGCTGACGAGACGCCTGGAGAACTATTCCTGAAAACTACTAAAAGAATTTACAAGAAAGCTTGCCTAAGAGCTTGGTTGGTCATATAAAATATTGACTTTCAGCCTTATTAGATTTGTATGAACTCTGTTTTCCATATTTTTGCGTATTTAAATAAATTGGTGGACCTATTTTCTCATAAATTATAAATAAAAGACTTTTGCATGATGCTGTGAGCACAAAGTCAGTGTTTCATTTTTAAATACTACAGTTATTGTGAGGACTGGGTTCACTCACTACTCCCTGAGAGTGGTATTTACTGGGGAAGTGGATGAGAAATATCAGTACATCAAAACCTACAGGTTCATGCTCATTCTATCCATGCTTTCATTTTCTCTCACCAGAACTATTGTAACTCAGTCTTCACCTGTTCAGTAAAGCCTCCCTGGATCAAAAGCAGCTGCAAAGCTCCTTACCAGATCCTCGAAGCACTCTCACCTCACACCTGTGCCAGTCTCACTGTACTTGCTCCCATTATTCAGAATTCTTTCAAGCTTCTGGAGTTCACCTTTAAGTCTTTGAATGGTGAATCACATCAGCAAACTTTTGCACCCATATATGACTCTCAAGCGGGACTCTCAAGTCATCTAATGTGGGCTCTATATCCACCCCTAAATCTGGACTAAAGTGTCATGGCCTCCACTCTTTCAAAACACTCCAATCTACAATCTGTAAGATCAGCGGACTTGTTCTGGATTTGGATATTATTTTTTCTTTTGGTTTTTTATCTTTATTTTTATCTCTGAAATCCTGGTGGTTTTGTTATTTTGGTAGGGGGATTTTGTTGGGTTTTTGGGGGGGAGGGGTGTTTGTTTTGTGGTTGGTTGGTTTGTTGGTTGGTTTTAAGTAACTTGTGATTTGTATCTTAAAGAGCCCGATATAAATAAATTCACTTACTTCAACTTGTAAACAAGTCCACACCCCCAGTAATATTTGGTTAATTGTTCCTCAGCAAGTTGCATCCAACAGCATGTTTAACAGTATAGGTTTAAAAGCCTCACCTTTTCTTCCCTAAACATACTTCTTATCACTGTGGCCAAAAACCTCAACCTTTGTCTTATCTGACTACAAGTTTTTTTCCAAAAAGGGACTTGGCTTTGATCGTGGAGCAGGGGCTTCTTTCTCAGTTGACCTCTTGTTCGTCCGTGGTGATGTAAAACTAACTTCACTGTGAACAGTGACACTGTTGTTCTAACATTTTCCAGATGATAGCATTACCATTAGAAAAAAAAAAAGGATTTAATCCTAATTAAAGATCAGTCGCCCAACAGAGTCTGTCAAATCACTCTGTCTCCTTGTTTCTCCTTCTCTGTACTTTCCTCCCCTCAGTTCTCCTTGCTGTCTGAAGTACGAGGCCTGGTTGCGCCACAGGACCTGGAGCGTTTTGATGGGCTGGTCCTTCGACGGGAAATTCAGGCCCTTAAAGCTCGACAGGGGGCAGCTGGCGCCTCAGCCCTGCAGCCAGACTCCCTGTCCATGGTGTCATATCCAGACACTCTGACATCATCTTCAGCCAGCTTCATGACCAACACCACCCTCAGCTCTGCACGGGTAAGTAGTGCTTACTAGTGCAATGATTATGTGATTCTACTTAATTAGTGGGTACTCTTAACTAAGATGAACGTTTACAATAGAAAACAACATTAAAACATTTAAATTAATTTATTTCCTTAAAAAATACTTACAGTAATTTTGAACCTGCTGCTATTACTATTTATTTCTGACACTTTGAGGGCAAAGCAGCAGTCTAGTCTGCTGCATATAATATGATGGATGGATTGGAGTATTTCCTTTTTTCCTAGTTCGCCTTGCTGTCTGGCTGTTTGTATTGCAATTGCTTCCTTTCCTGTTTGGCCGTCTGCTCACTCCTCTGTCTCTCTTGGCTTAGTGTGAAAGACAGAGATGGTAGTGTGATATGTCTCCGTGGATTATTACAGTTTCTACTGCAGAATAGATACTCTTCTGGTGTGGACTTTGTTGGCTGAACAGTGATATGTTTCGCTGCCTACCTTCTGAGATTACAAAGTCTTTTTGCTGATATTTGATAGGCTGCGTTTTTCTTCCACCTTGATAACCCCCTCACTTCCATCTCACCCCTAAAAACCTTCCCTCCCTCTCTCCCTCTGTAGGAGAGGCTGCTGTGGCTGATAGATATTATGGAGGTAGGAATTACTGCTGAAAATGATGAATGCTTTCCATCACAGACCCACACATACAGAATACACACTCGAGTTAAGTTCCTCCGTAGGCAGGCGGACATGCATGCGTTCCAGCTCTCACCTTGGTTTGTGGTGTTTTTAAATGGTTTGCAGTGATTTTCTTCCTTCTTGCCTTTTTCTTTCTTTCCTTAATTTGAACAAGAAATGTCAAAAGGGTGTAAGCACCAACTGCTCTGGATATTATATAAAATGATATCCACGACTGACATTTTTAAGCTGATATGTCCCAATTTCGCCATCAACTTCTTGGCATTATTGAGCCACAAGGTCCCATGTGTAAACTGTTACAGGTGATAAGTTATCAACTAAAGCTGGCTAATGCTACAGTCACAATAGGCAAAACAATTGTTTCACACCACAACATGACCAAACTTATTGGTAGCTATCAGCAAGCTTCTGGTTGCTGTGTTCAAAGCACATTTAGTGTTTTAAGATGGAGATAAAATATCAATAAGGTGGAGTCACTCTGCTATCAGTCTGCAATTGAATAGGAACATCTTGACAGTTACAGTTAGAGCAATCTATGACTATATGGCAATAAGTCATCAAATCCGTTGCCACACACAGAAATTCACATTAACTACCTAATTTCAGAGTCTCATTGATTTGAAAGATAAATTCAAAAATTGCTCCACCAGTAGTGACATAGTTGCTGCAGGATCCTGATTTAACTGCAAAACGATATAGGTACTTGGTAACTCAAGCGATTGCACTTAGTCAGACCATGTTTTTGAAGGTTGGTTGACTCCCACTGGGCAACCGCAGCAACTGCCTTGCAATGAAAAGTAGTAGTAGTAGTAATAGTTTCCCAGAGGCTGATGGTGTTGCACACTCAGCCTTTGGGGGACCAGTTGGTTGCCATAACTACAATCACAAGACCAACCACCAGTTTAAAGTTCATAAAGTTCATTTTGTAAAATGTGGCAGTTGTTAAGATTCTGAATGTATATGCTAGTGTTGATCACATGTACTTCGCCAATGAACGAAGTCACTGGGGATGAAACAGTGACTATGTCACACATGTCCCCACACAGGTCGCTGTACCTGATTGCTGGCTGCTAGGTCTCACTGGACATCTTGACTGTTTTTGTGGGTTTCGGTGCCTTTGAAGTATTTTTCAAAGAATTGCCTGACAGCCAAACTTTGTAGCATTAATTAAATCACAGACAGTATAAATTATGGCCGTAGCTGCCATGATGTCACCTACTGGTTTCAGAATCCTGTTTTGGAGTTTATTGGCTAATGACTTGCCAGTCATAGCTGACTTTACTTTTCAGAATCAGAGGCTCCATTCAACTTTTATACTGTTTATAATATCACCTGCTTGTCTAATTATGTTCAGTTTTGGTTTCAGAAAGTCAGAAACACTAACTCACAAAACTAAAGTGCAGGTGGGTGACCCCACAGTGGCTACACCAATCTACATCTTCCTGCGTATGCACGTACTTGTCACTCAAAGTGAGCTTGACTGTAATGGTGCTTAGCATTAACCATAAACTTCACAATCAGAATATTTATAACTCTTTTTAACAGTTTTTAGTTCCTCTAATTGCCACTTGAGGCTTTAAATATGAGTCAGTTCCTATAGTTTTTGTCATGTCCTCACTGGCTTCGTTTTCCACCCAATGGCGGTTGCTGTTTTGCCCTCAGCTTCAGTCTCAATGAGATTCCTGTCACTAAGACAAAAGTTCAACAAACTATCACCAGGTCTATTTCCTCTGAAGGAATTCTATTAAGAATTTTCAGCAAATATTACATCCCCTCATTTTTCTCTGCAGTGTTATTACCAAAAGGCAACAATGACAATGGTCATTACATTGCATTTATTATATGACACTAACCTAATGAGCCTAATATTTTCTATAGTATACTGCAGCCGCTCCACATGGGAAATTGCTGTTCCTGCCAAGTAGTTAAAGGCTGCTTTTCTCGGGCAAAGACTAAAACTTTGGATTTAGCCATTCTGAGACACCCTGCAATGGAATATACCAGATTCCTTGATTTTATCCTTGTTATTGATCACAATGTACTTGTGATAAGGGACAATGAGCCTGTCTGCATCATTTTAATCACAGCTTTAGTTTACCAGGAAGCTTTTTGCACAATTCAATTTACAGTAGATCCCACTACAGATGCCAGCAACTCAAACACAAATATGTAAGCATGTAGTGAGTGTGTCAGCATCTTGGTCTTTGGCTGGATAAAGATAAGTGGTTGCACGCACGAACACGCAAACCTGCACACACATACACACAGTTTCTAAGCTGACAGCGGAGATAAGCTGTCGACTGTCTGCAGATTTATTCACCAAACAGTCCTTCTCATTCAGATGCCCAGGATGGGTTTTGCCTGCCTTTATACTTTCCCCTCTGAGAAGCAACATTTACATGTGTGACAGATACTGGGTGTGTGCGTGGTGGTCTGCATTCTTACCTTGCATCTATGTGTGTGTCTTCTGGTGCTGTTTTGGGCCCATGGGTGACTGGGTGGGTTTGGGAGAATAAAAACAGTAGATTTCTGAACTAGAGTCAAAGCATGGTATACTCAAGTGAATACAAATGCACACCCTCTGATGCTCACATGTTTTTATAATAGTGTGGATACTCATTGACTTCTTAACTTCTACCCTACAACTAACTGCCAAACCCCCACCCTTACCCTCACGTGAACCTCGTGGACCTAGTCTGAACACTCTAACTAAACATTATTTACATTTTAAACATTAAAATATTACCATTGGTTTGTGGATACAAGCAGGACATCCTGCCTCCTATTCACACGTTAGAGCTTAGGAAGCTGGCTGGGGAGAGATGGGGTCCTGGTATGTCTGCTTAGAGTCTTGCTCCACCAACTTGGACCTGAATAAGTTGCAAAAACATGGATTTGTGGATGGACAGGACCAGACTGTATTATGTTTCCTTTTGAAGATAGAACATCATGCTAGATTTAGGCTACACAATAAAAGCTTGATTATGGTAAGAGCTGAACAATGTAGGGGCATCATCTGGCTGGGAATGAAAATAGGTGCTGTGCACAGTTGATCATTGTTACACATTATACAGGATGTTGTAAATTCCTAATAGAAAAAAAAACATGCTGCCGTAGTCTACAGTCACACTAAGGAAAACAATGGTTGGAGACCACGGCCAGAAAGCTGATTCTGTTCATCTGGAAGCTGCTTTTCAAGTCATTTCTTCAGTTTGGGAAGTCAGAAGAAAACATTCCAGTCTTTCAGTTTTCGATTGAACAAGGTTAAGTTGGCACTTACATGCAATCTGTATTCCACAATACTTTGATTATCTGTGATAAATCTCTAATGGGGCTGCACAGAATCCACACATCAGGTGGACTCTCTCAGCCAAAGACTGGGCTGAATCCATGGGTTAGATTTATAAATTATAAATTTATAAACAAAAGGAAAGAGTTAGTTTATTTCATTAATGACCAACATTCTACCGAGAGCAGTGCAATTAGGGGGCTCAAAAATAAGGACACATAATCAGAAAGTAATATAGTATAAGTGCAGGTTTCTCTCTGTGAAAACAGTGTGGCAGTTCAAATGAACGAGGGGAGGCTGAAGAAGAATTGGTATGTTTATGAAACTCTTCTGTTAGAAGTTGATGGGGTCTGTGTGTGGACCTGAGAACTGAGACACAGGTGAAGCGCAGGGATTATTATTTGGTTTAGATAGAGCTGTTTTGTCACAAACTCTTTCTCCAGACGAACTTGGAATTTGCGTGTAACAGCTGAAGTGTAGAAGAAAACAAAACTTTATTTACCATCTGATCCCAAGCCATCTGTGTGTTAATGAATATACTCTTAGTGTGTCAGCACCCTCAACCTCAACCAGCTGGTCACCGCAACTACAGTCGTGGCCAAAAGTTTTGAGAATGACACAAATATTAGTTTTCACAAAGTTTGCTGCTAAACTGCTGTTAGATCTTTGTCTCAGTTGTTTCTGTGATGTAGTGAAATATAATAACAAGCACTTCATACGTTTCAAAGGCTTTTATCGACAATTACATGACATTTATGCAAAGAGTCAGTATTTGCAGTGTTGGCCCTTCTTTTTCAGGACCGCTGCAATTCGACTGGGCATGCTCTCAATCAGCTCCTGGGCCAAATACTGACTGATAGCAACCCATTCTGCCATAATCACTTCTTGGAGTTTGTCAGCATTAGTGGGTTTTTGTTTGTCCACCCACCTCTTGAGGATTGACCACAAGTTCTCAATGGGATTAAAGTCTGGGGAGTTTCCAGGCCATGGACCCAAAATATCAAAGTTTTGTTCCCCGAGCCACTTAGTTATCACTTTTGCCTTATGGCACGGTGCTCCATCGTGCGGGAAAATGCATTGTTCTTCACCAAACTGTTGTTGGATTGTTGGAAGAAGTTGCTGTTGGAGGGTGTTTTGGTACCATTCTTTATTCATGGCTGTGTTTTTGGGCAAAATTGTGAGTGAGCCCACTCCCTTGGATGAGAAGCAACCCCACACGTGAACGGTCTCAGGATGCTTTACTGTTGGCATGACACACGACTGATGGTCACGCTCACCTTTTCTTCTCCAGACAAGCCTTTTTCCAGATGCCCCAAACAATCGGAAAGAGGATTCATCTGAGAATATGACTTTGCCCCAGTCCTCAGCAGTCCATTCACCATACTTTCTGCAGAAGATCAATCTGTCCCTGAAGGTTTTTTTATGCAACGCAATGATGGCTGCACGCGTTTCTTTGCAGGTCACCATGGTTAACAGTGGAAGAACAATGATTTCAAGCATCACCCTCCTTTTAACATGTCAGGTGTGCTATTCTAACCCAATCAGCCTGACATAATGATCTCCAACCTTGTGCTCGTCAAAATTCTCAACTGAGTTAACAAGACGATTACTGAAATGATCTCAGCAGGTCCTTTGATGACAGCAATGGAAGGCCGTGGAAAGGTTTTTTGGGATTAAGTTAATTTTCATGGCAAAGAAGGATTATGCAATTCACCTGATCACTCGTCATAACATTCTGGAGTGTATGCAAATTGCTATTATACAAACTTAAGCAGCAACTTTTCCAATTTCCAATATTTATGTAATTGTCAAAACTTTTGGCCACGACTGTACATGTAATCAGTCTGAGACAGCTAAAACATTCAGTGCAATCACTCACCAACCACAGGTTTTTCCTGGCAACACTGAGGTTCTTCTCTTTTTTCCACTCTAGTGTGAGTGAGGCCTTATGATGAGGCTAGACAACAAGAAGTCCAGCATGGCTTTTCCTATTTTTCTCTCTGTTCCATCAAGTTGACACTTATGAGGACAGTGAGCTACACCAGGCACTAAAAGTATTTCCTACGACTGACCTGTATACACCTGTGATCATGACAAAAAGAAATTAGTGTGTGATGTTGCTAGATAGCAGGTTTCAGACACACCACTGGACAAGGTGCTGTGTCTTTACATTCCTTTAAGAGATTTGGCTAGCTAGTACCACCTTCCATATAATATCATTCATGTTATGAAAGATGGCAAGCATAAGAAACAAAGAAGTCAAGTCAATTTGAAACAACAACCTCCAGTAAAAGTAAAACAACCTACTGGCTGTACACCTGGACAATGAACAATTAAAACAGGACCAGGTTTGTCTCTTACAAACTCCTTGGTATCACTCTGCAAAGTCTTTCAGTACAACATTACTTATGTGTTGGTCTTTGAGTCCTCATCGCACTGTGCAATGCTTCATTATATCATGTGTGCATGAGAGACTTTATAAAAGCTGATACACAGTCTTGATGTCATGAGCATCTGCGATGTCGGCTGCAGACAGTTCCATAACCATCTCTCTCCTACATCCGTGCCCTCAAAACACCAGCATCTGCCATTTTCACTGTTCTGAAGGAGTGCAGCAGGATGATGGAAGGATTCATTAGGTTTCTGTAGATCTCACTTTCTTTTGCCTTACTTCACTTAGGCTGAATTCAGACTACTAGTCTTTTGCCTGTTAAACATATTGTTTTATAGTGTCACATTTCTCAACGCCATTGATACTTTTGCTATCACAGTATTATGACATTGACCATTACATCCCTATTGAGCCTTTCAATTTAATGTAATGTAAATTCAAGATTTTAAGACTGAGATTGCATGTAGTACCAATATTGGCTCGCAGTTTGTCAAGAGGGAAGAGATGATCAGGAATATCAACATATAAAGCAGTGGGTTGCAGACATTACACCAGCACGAATGGTATAACTTGCATAACTGCTTAGGTTTTAAAACTGGAGAATCAGCAGTCTTCCCAGGCGACAAACATCCCAGTATTTCCTGCATTTGTACCTACTGTAATGTTTCTGCTGTGCATTGTAACTGTGGCTAAGCATAATCATACAAACTGTACATACGGATGCAGCAGGCTCTGACTGCTTACAGTGTAAAATTGCATCTCTCCGCGTAGAAAGTCGATTGACTCTTATGATAAATAAATTGGCCGTAAGTGCTCCACATGCGGCAAGGAGGGGTAATTAAGCCAAATTGATGGGGCTTTTGTTTTGGTTTAGTGTCAGAGTTAAATGAAGGGCAGCAATTCTCTGAACTCAGTTCCTCTGCTCTGGAATCGCTCACAGATCTTCTGCAAATTACCTCCTCTCTACCACGCCAGTGGGACTGAGCCTGCAAATCCTGCTTTGAACTGAGCTGATGGTTCTTTATCGATTTCGCAGCATGTGTGTTTTGCTTATGAAAGAAGACATTATGAAGTGAGTGTGGTTGTGTATGTGCGTGTCCTATTTGCTTGCCATCCTCTGAGACTGGCAAGCAAATGCGAACAGAAATGACGTCTTTCCCTTTTCTAGGAGATGAGGAACATTCGCCAAACCCAGTTCGGCTTTGTTTTGGGATAAATAGACATCTGTGTTTAACATCTGTTCAGAAGCTTTCTCACTTTCACTTGAATCAAACTCAAACACCCCTTGTTTCTGTCTTTGGTCTCCGTTTTCACCATCCCATTCTTTCTCTTTCACCTTTCCATCTTCCGATCCTCTTCCTCTGCTTCTGTCCTGCTTTTCCCAGAATGACAGCGTTGTGGAGAGTAATGAGGAGGATCCCCCAGAGAGCCTGAACATGCTGCTGACCGACATCTCTCTGGTGAGCTTGGCAGGCAGGCAGGCATAGCCCCTGCTTTAGCCTGATAAAGATGGATACTGCACAAGGGAGCAGTGAGTAGGTGTGGGAGAAAAACAGGTAGAAAAAGATGTGTGTTTGTGTGTGGAGGCTGGATAGAGATGCTTTAGACATGGTGACCTGCAGGGTTTGAATTTTATACTGATGATAAGTGTTTGCACTTCACGAAAACAAAAAGAAACAGAGGTAGAGCTTTGTAAAAGTAAGAGCCTGTGCACACTCTGTCCTTTTTTGTTGTAGTGTAGAAAGAAGAGATTAGACTCAGCACTTTGTGCCATTTGTCCAATTCGCTCCCTACCTGAGCTAGCCATGTTGTTGCGCTATTGTGTTAAAAAAGATACCATGGCAACCCCAGTTTCCAAAGTTATAGACATATCAGGGGGCTCGTTTGTTTATTGTCTGCAGAAGGATAAAAGAGTGAGGTTAAGGAGAAAGCTTTCAGCCTGCTATCACCCAAGGCTACCTGCTGCTCAAATCATACCTTTTGTTTTTTTAAACCATTTTTTTACACTCATTTTATGTCTCGCTCCACATCCTGGCAAAGCACTCGTGTCACACAGTGTTGTTCATTCCACTGTTGAGTTTTTGTTTGAGCACTCTTACCTGTAAACCCAGGATCCCAGCAGCATCAAACCACCAAGTTAAATGACTTCAATTCAACAAGAATTGGTGGTGAAGCTGGTGGGAGTTGTTGATTGTGTGTCTAATATGTGAATGCAAGGGAGTGAGTGGAAAAAAAAATGGTGTGAATGACAAGAAAACAATATGAACTCATCTTAAAGGGGACCTATTATGTTCTGTTCAGTGATGGACTCCACTAGAAGCAGTTAAACAAAAATCTACTGTCTGAAGTACAGTGTGTAGATCCTGCCCCTTTAAGTTTACTCTTGGTTTAAATGCACCTTTCTCTGATTGGTTGCCCCTCGCCTGGTTTCTGCAAACAGGACACAGTACTTGTGAGCACCCGTTCCTGTCCCTGGCGAGAGAACTCTCAGCATTGCCCAAGAATCAAAGGAGAGCATTAAAAAAATATCTTTAAAACTACAAAAAAAATATATTTTTCTTTTTTTTTTTCCACACTAAAATTTGTACTTTGATGTATGCACTGAGTGTTACTAATATATCAGAATGAAGGATACATGAGTAAAATTATAGGTGCTTAGAAATCAATGTGTGGTTGTCGTTAACTGCTTTCAAATCATAAAAGCAGGTTGCAAAAGTGATGAGAATTATAACAGTTTAGCAAAATTGAAAATGCTCATTAGTTTCACTGAAACTGTATGCATTAAAGCCATTAAAAAAACTATGTTGGGGGGAAAAAGTTATTGGAAACTGAGCTTTTAGGACTAAATCATGCAGCCTTGTGCCACTGGGTTTATTTCTACATATGCCAACCTCATCGTCTGGCCGTGTTTTTAAGGTGAAAAAAATATATAAGGAAGGATAATAATTTTGGATACATCTTGTTTAACTGCTAGTATAACTTTGTTCTCACAGTTTGTGAGTTTCCCAAGCAACTTATCAGAATAAATATGGATTGAAAATTTAATCTAATTTACCAAAAGCTTTACCAATTTCCTCCAGGGGGGAGAGGGAAAATTACAATTTAACAACACTGAAAAAAGCCCAAAATATGATGATCCAATAAATATTTCGGCAGTCTGCAAGACACTGTGCAGGAGTTCTGCATAGTTGGTTCAACAAAGGTTTTTGGTTTGTTTTTTTTAAAGGGACCTTCCAATCATTCAGGTGTGTAGTGAATTTTTTTCAATAAGCAGAAAAAGAACGTCCATTTCAGCAGTCTCAAACTCCTGACAAAGAAAAACGAAATTACATATAATATCACCATAAATCTAAATATAGGTACACTGACCGACCCAGCATATTATAGACTTGCACATAAACAGATCATATAAAAATTCTTCTGTCAAATTGTCTAAAAAACTAATTTCAAAATATTGGCGCACGACCCATTTGACAGTGTCGCTGCATCCTCTGGTGTTTAATGACTACAGACAAAAGTTGAACCTTTCCAGACGCAGAACTGATCTGATTTGCGAGTTTCAGCTCCATCAATCACATGGTTACATTTTTAATCACAGCACATTATGCTACAATATTTTGTTACACCCCTAATCAATGATGATGAATATATCCTCTCACTTCAGGATGATGTTCAGTCCGCCACAGCCGAGTCCCCTCCCTCCTTCAAGCCTCCGCCCCCACCAGGGGTGCAGAGGGGCCCAAGTAGAAGAGATCCGCTCAACAAGTGCCCCTCTTCCGAATCCTCACACTCAGGCTTGTACTTTACAGCCACAGCCTCTAAGAACCACGGCAACGAGCCAGGACACGCTCCTGCCTCACCCTCTTTACACCACAAACGAGAACGCCAGAGGGACCCGTCTCAAGAATACGCAGCTATCAGAAAGAGAGAGCCCTCTGCATTGGCCAAGAAACAGAAAACAACATCCGCTCAGTTGTCCACAGTCACTCAGCACAACATTGGCCCTTTCCCCAGGGTGCAGTCGCCCAGCAGAGGCACTAAACCCGCTGCCCCGTCCCCTTCACCTCCGCCTCCTCCTCCACTCCCTGCCCCTCCTCCGCCCCCTTCTCTGTCCCTTAAGCCAGCGTCCAAGACCAAATCCTCCCTCACCTCCTCTCCTGGGTCTAAACAGCAGTTTGTTACAGTGGAGGTTCACAGGCCCAACGCAGAACCTGATGTCAATGAGGTGCGGCCACTTCCCCAAGCTCGAGGTATGAAATACAGAGCTACAGATCTGATATGTTGAAAATCGTGCGCTGTATAGAAAAGATGGGTAACAGCCCAAGTGACCTTTACGTTTGGTCCTATTTTAAAGTCAAGTGTTTCACTGTCTCCATTATGGTGTTTTTGAGAGATAGATCCGAATGAGAAACCAATGCACGCTTCTTTTTTTTTTAGCTTAATCTTAGCCTTTTTGATACCATTAAAAACAAAAAGAAAATAAAACAAAGGTACATGTGAAGAGTATGAAGAGTAAAAAAACAAATTCTAAACTGACCTTATGTTAGATGAAAATCTAAAAATGATCCTCAAAGCTTTTCAAAAGTTTTTACTTTGCCTTTTAATATGAGGAAGATTTTTTTTCTAGCTGAGGGGTTTGATATCATTTGTTTTACCCAGTCATATTTAGCTTTGTGGTTGAAGACCGTAATTTACTAAAATAAACATTTCGTCTTTAGTCTGAATTTAAACTGGCATTTGAGACTATACCTTCATTGAAAAAGTGTTTACTCAGGTCACAGGGAAACGCATCCAAAGCAGTTACCCCCTGCTGACCATTAGGGAGAATGCAGGTTTAAAGCCTCTCAGTTTTCAGACCTGAAAGGTAGAGCCGTCTTTTATATACAGTCTATGAACCAAACAATGAAATAAATCGAGGATGAAGTTTGTTTGTTTTTAAAAGAATTTGATACATATGGTTACAGATTTGTTTTAAAATTAATCTGTTAACAATTCAATTTAAGTGACTGGGTATTTATCTATAAAATATTCCAAAATAAAATGAAAAATTATTTGCACGAATTAATCGGTTCCAATACTTGGAGCTGATAATTTAAGCACTACAGAAAAACTCAAATTAAAAGATTGTGCTTTGCATTTAGGGACAATATTTAATGTCTTGGGATTTCCTAACCCTGTGTGATCTAATCTAACATCTATGAATTAAACGACTGATGCATCATTCACATGGGCAGTTTGCTGCAATTGTAATCCTTTCAGTCAGTGGGATCCTGGTCAGCAGGTTATGAAACTGTGCTTTGGATACAGAATTGACAGAATTAAACATGCTGAAGTTTGAACACATTTACTGATACTGTTCAAATTCTCAGATTTGCTAATTATTATTAAATATGCAGTGTCAGATATAAAGGAGGGTGAAAAATGTTCGGTGTATAATCTTTCTAAATATGTGTTTGCTTGGGCTTAATGAGCTTAATTGAGCAAATACCCAGAAGATTGGAAATTACTCATACTGTATGCAAACATCACTAATCTAAACAAGCTTTTAATTTGGCATCAAATAAGATGATTTTCCAAAAGACATCAAAAAATAGTTTTTTTTGCTTAATAACATCTTTACCTAAAAAACTTCCCTTTATTTGATACCATGTTCTACTTCAGTGAGCTATATACACACTTTGAATTTTAATGGTTTAGAGGTCAAAAAAATGCATGCTATGTTTAGATTCCCTGACTTAATGTGTGCCTGCTTCCCCTCAGGTGGCACCCTGTCTCAGCTGTCAGACAGTGGCCAAACCCTCAGTGAGGACAGCGGGGTGGACATAGCTGAGTCAGGACACGTCAGGAAAGAAAGTAGCTCCCATTCCTCACGCACACACCTCCCCCGAGACACCCAGGAGGGAGGCGGGGGGGACAACCCCTCCAAACCGGTGAGGGGGGTTCTTCAGTGCAGCTCAAAGCTAAACATGCATGGAAGATTGAATTAACGCTCAAACTTCAGGAAATTAGACATGTATAATTTAGCCATGAGTGCTCTTGTATTTCTCTCTTTGTGAGGACCAGATTATGGTTTAAGAATGACATTCGCGAGTCGTTTTCACACTTGCACCTCAGACATTATCAAAGGCACATTCTCACTAGTGGAATTACTCTGTGCCGTTTGGTCAAGGTAAATCATGCAAGAGCAACTACTCATTATGCCGAGGAGCTAGAGGCAAATCCACCAGACTAGTACCTCCACTATTCATACATTGTCCTGATTAAACAACAGCTAATGTGTGATAGAACTCCATGGGACAATTTCATTCTTCAAGCACCTCTATCCTACAAAATAGAAAAAAGGCTTTATTATTAAATGGCCACATTTAGAAATTAAAGGGCATTTTTGGACTTTTAAGGTCACATTTCAATATTAAATAACATTTCTCCAAGGTGGGGATGTTCTTGAACAACAGCTGTTTTGGAAATCTGAAAAATACCTTTTTTTAAACTGTGGGTCTTTTTTTAGAAGCAGTTTTGAAAGCTATATCTTTGGTATTTTAAACTCAAGGGCAGTTTTGGTAACCTTGTGGGAAAGTAGAGACATTTTTTTGAAAATAAATATGAAAAGTGGACAGATTTTCTTGGATCCTCACTTCATCAAAGGGCTCAGGTTCAGGGGAAATGGGTCAGAACTGTATTCGGCTTGTAGTTAAGGATTTATGTGTTAAGAAATGAATGTCCGTCCAAGGACAGAGTGGGTCCTCACAAGCAGAGAAGTACAAGTGTGTGTGTGTGTGTGTGTGTGTGTGTATGCACTTAATTGCTAATCCTCCTCGAGAGTCTGTTCTTAATCCTAACCTTGATCTTTTCTCTCCTCCCTCTGTTTGCTCATGCAGATTGTTTCCTTTGTCTCACTCATTTGTTTATTTCTTACCCATGTCATTCATCGAGTCACATGCTCCATCATTTGTTTAATCACTGACTGCGCTGTAGCCTAATGAAATTCACAAATCCCTCTCTGGTTCTTAATGATTGATGGAAGGAATAACAAGCAAGGATGGGAGTAGTCTGATTGTTTATGGAGAGAGAGCTGATAAATTCAGCATCCAAAGAGATTGTGTAACATAAAAAAAGCTGCCTTTTTACTACCAAGAAGCAAAAATGTTTTCTTCTGCTTGTTCCTGAGTGTCAGGCAAGTGGTTGCAGAAAAGAGTGGAGTTATGTGCTCATAAAATCTTGCCCTTAATAAACTTAAGGAAGGCATTTTTAAGTCTTCTCATCTTTATGTCAAACAAAAGACAGCAGAAAGCAGAACTGTGGGGCAGTTACCTGAGTAAGTATATAAGTATGGCTTGAATTCATTCAAGAAAATAGAGTAAACCACTGATCACGTAACTGGATATTTCTCTCTTGCCAGTTTTAAAATGCTGAAACATGTTTTTGTGGGTCTTCCATTCATGTTCTAAGATAGATGAGTATCTGATGTCCTGGGTAATAGCATTCACAACTTCCTTTCATTGGCACCAAGCAATAATATTCTCTGGGCTATTGAAGTATGTCAGTGGTGTAGGGAATTGTTTTGCTTAAGGTTTTCACTAAGAAGCTCTAGATTGTCATTGTCTCCAAGTTCCAGCATGCTACTGCATAAAAGAGAGAGTTGATTAATGGATGTCCCACATCCATCTCTTCCAAACCACATCCCTACTACACACTCCTTTATGTCAGAAAGGTCACTCATAGACTGGTTTTCTTAATCCAAGAGTAAAACAAACAGGTTTTGATAAAGGTTTTGGGAAAAGACGTGTTGGATCCAAAATATGAGACGGACAAAAGGAACAAAGTGAGAGATAGAATGTCAAGCATTTAAAGGGCTAGATATTTTACTCTGGAGGTGATGTAGCCCTCACTTACGCAAGGCTAAAATGAGTATGGATGATTATATAAGCATATCTCTTAGTCCTCAGTCACACAGGCCTGTAAGCAACCCTTTGGCCACCTGTTTTAGCTGGTCTTCGGTCAAATCTGTACTACCTGACTGGTTGGCAAGTGGTTGCTGGAGATTGCTAACTGGTGCTGTGTGAAATCCAAAAGGAAACATCCTTGTGATTGTGTTGGTTGCCTGCAAACATTCGTTTGCATGAAAGAAGCCAACATGCCTGCAAACACTCGTATAATCCAAATCAGAAATGGAGCACATTGACCTCCAAAGTAAAATGTATGTCTTACTGCTGAAACCAACACATTTCAAAAGGCACAACTTTTACTTTGAAGCTTACTGATGTTCATTTCCAGATTGTACTGCACTCTTCACAGTTTCACTTTTTCTTAGCAAGCAGTTGGTGAGTGTTTGCAGACAATGCAGGACCTTCAGTGCAAATTACAGGCAACAATAAGGATCTGCTAGCAACCAAAGGAATTGTAAGGAGGTTTTGAATGCACCATCACAAACCAGTTTGCAACCAACTTCACCTTGCAACAGCAACATCCATCTACCAGTCACTAACCAGTCAGGGATTACTCATTTTTCCCTAGCGACTGATGGTTTCCAAGGAGTTACTGACTGGTCTCAAGGTTTTTGTGACTTGGGCTTTTGTAGCCAATTTCACATCAACTGCCAGCAGCTAATTGGGGAACACTCACTTTTCCTTTTATGACCAATTGCCAGTTGATTGCCAGGAATATGTATGGCACTATACAAGCCTCCTAAAAACAAGCTCAGGAGAAAAATAGTAACTCAATGTAGCAGTGGAGTGTGGTTTAGAGACTGCAGGTGGAGTATTGCCCAGTAAGTTGATGCAGTTACAAATGGTAACTGATTAGTATCTTACTTATTCTGCAGTTGGATGCTGGAACTTGGCGTTTGAGACAAAGGAATCACAGCGGACAGAAGTCTGTGTTCCTGTGTTATTGTAGTGAAGTTGAGTGGACTTTACCCACCGGATAAGTGTCATTGCACAGAGTGTGTTTGGCAGATCTGAATAGACGTTTGGTGATGGCACGAACTAGTCTCTGCCTCTTCTGTGTCCTGAGGGGAACTCATGAGTCGGTGAGGCTATAGTAGCTGAGAGGTTACACTGCTGTATGCAGGTATTTACTGCCACTCCAACAATATAAGTATGCACACACAAATTTAACAAATGTTTGTGAAGCTTAACAGGCAAGGGAACAAAGCAGCCACAACACCCATAAGAATTTCTGCTTATTGAGAGCTTTGGCTATACATGCTGTCGCAGGGAACACACTCAAAGTTGAATTCTGAATTCTGATTGTCAAATTCAACTCAAACCTTTTGACAGTTTGGGGGCGGAAACCAAGGGAGTAATTGAGCCTCTTATGAGCCATCACAAGGCACTGACACGCACATCTCAGTGACTGACGGCTTCGGTTAACTGTGTTAAACTAAGTTACACTGTGGCAGCAGTGTGGGTGTCATTTTAAGTTGTAAATTATAAACAGTTCCTTTTGAATGTACTGACAACTATCACGGGACAACTTTGGTTCAGAAGAAATCTAAGAAATGGGCGGTTGTTCTGACAAGTTCTGAAGTCCCTACTCAGCCATTTTGCATGAGTCTATTTATAGACTCATGCAGCCTTGTAAGGCTGTACTGGTGTTTTTATAAGTTATGTTTGACTTTATGACTTTCTGTGTCGTTTCTGGGATGCTTAGGACTCAAATTGCACTGCTGGAAATAGTGTATTTTGATGCATATGCTATTTTTTTTTGCAAATTTGCATTATAATATTTATTTTTGTTTTTCCTGCAGTATGTAAAAATTGGTGAATTTCAAAAATAAAACTATGAAGACGCTCAAAATAAATTTCCTGTGGTGGGAAACTAGTTTTTGCAACTTTTTTGTATTTACAGTTTTGAGGGATAAGCCTCTTAAATTTCTCTAACTAGAAATATATGTTAAAAAAGCAAAAACGATTTTCAATTTTTTTTGTAGTTTATTGCACTTTTTTGCAATTTATGTAATTACTATGCACTTAATGCATACATATATTACAATTTGGGCTATAATGGTTGTATTGGTGTACAGCAACTTGAAATGCTCCAAAAATGGCTCTACAGCATGTAAAAATATAATATAAGCTCTGGCGGACATGGTTGTATGGTAGGTCTTAAAGGGTTAATAACGTAACCCTTTCCTTACTACTAAAAAAAAAAACGAGCTGTTGTAGTTTTTATTTCAGTTCTTGGCAGAAAGTGTAGCTTGTTAAACCTTTGTTTTATTTCTGATTCAACCTCTCTGTCTCCTTTTTTTTTTCTTAAAGCACTTTTATTGTTGATTCCTTGGATCCTCTGGGAGTTTATCAGGGATCCAGCCCCAAGTCCTCTTATAACAGAAATAATGGCTCGGTTAACAGGTTTTCAGGATGTCTGAAGTATTCAGTAATCCAGTGATTGTTGTAGTACACTCAAGCCCAAAGCACATTGGAACTTTTAATAGTTAATGTTTTTTAAATTATACATGTTATACAAGTTAACCACTACACTGAATCCCTTTAACTCACACTGATCTTGGAACCTGGACATAAAAACCCAAAAACATGTTTCAGATTCATTTATAAAGGAAATAAACACCTATAAATGGAAGGAAACTGTACAAGACCCAGCATAAACATGACTACATCATGGAAATGGAAATTAAATGTGTTTTATTTTGTCCTCTGACTTGTGAAGGTGTTAAATTGATTGCTCATTCAGAATAAACAAGGGAAACCATTAGGAAGCTCATTGTTGCTCCATTAAAATAGCCAAACATACAGTATAGTACAGTGTAAGCCAAGCAAATTGCAACAAATTGAAGGCAGATTATCTTATAAAGTTATGAATGTATTTATAAATATGCCTTTCATTTCGTGTTCCTCACTCTGCCTTATTTCAGCCAGGGCTTTTGGAGCCTACCGCTACACTAGTGAGGGTGGCAAAGACTGCCAGCACCCTGGGTATTGCCATTGAAGGTGGAGCCAACACTCGCCAGCCGCTGCCACGAATTGTGACAATACAGGTAAGTCAGGAAGAACATAAAATAACATTGAAAGTTGGACCTCTTATGCTCATTTCCAGTGTATCACGAGTAGAGTAGCTTTCCATGTTTAACAATTCAAAATAACGCATATTTATCTTAAACTGGACTTCACCTACTTATACCGATTGGTTATGATTTTTGTGCCTGTAAAACAAAATTCATAGTTTGAGGAGCCAGCAAAGGTTGCTTGGTTATCTGACTAGGATGCCTCCTGGGTGCCTTCAGGGTAAAGTGTTCTGACCATATCCAATCGAGAGGAGGCCACGTGGTAAATCAAGGACACACTGGAAAGATTATGTCTCTCAGCTAGCCTAGGAACGGCTAAGGGGTTGATAGATGGATATTTGATGTACACAGTGCTGTCACTCCAATACGTTTTCCACCTGAATGGAGAAACCATATATATGTGGGACTTCTGGACTCACAACCAGAGCTTCAGTGAGATGACCATATTAGGCTATCCCCTCATATACTGAACCAAGAGTAGAATAATCTTTAATATGCGTTTAAAATGAACAGTCACCATAATAACACTGCTAAATTCAGTTCTCTGCTTACTCTGCTAACATGCAGTATTTTCATGAGTACTGTCCTCGCGTGGTTGAGCTGTGTTTTCTTTATCCTTGAAACACTTTGGATTTTCTGTAATAGTGCCACGTGCACACCTTCCAGCTGGGATCTTGTGTTCTTTAAGGTTTCATAAGGATTCACACAGCGGCTGAACTCACACTGAGATTTCTGCTAATTTTGTCGTCATTGGGGCTCTACAGAGATGATTACAACATTAATGGCCTACATGTATAAGCCCTAGCTGTCTGGAGATTTTGGTAATTACTTTGTCGGGATGAGGCACTTGGTATTGTGTGTGTGTGTGTGTGTGTGTGTGTGTGTGTGTGTGTGTGTGTGTGTGTGTGTGTGTGTGTGTGTGTTAAAGGGTAAAGGCAAAGGGCAGAAACAGCAAATTACACAGCACCTTTTTATCTAAAAGGTAGAAGTCATAGGCTCATTTCAAATATTTAATGTTCAGTTTAATGCTGTGGCTAAATAGAGTTGCAATTATATTTCCCGCAAAGACTTTTTCATTTATAGCATATCTGTCATATTTAAAAATACTCAAAATTCTGAGCTCCCAGCTATGCGGAGTGACAGAAAAATTCTGAAAGCTTTGCTTGAAATGGCAGGTTAGTCACCTCTAAAGAAAGGTATTACTTGTGGCTGTGAATGCATATATCTGTCTGCCATGATAATTTGCAAGCCAACAAATCTTGCTCTAGTTCAGGACTATATGCCACGCTAATCATTTTCTAAACACAGACAATGAGACAGTTACAATTTTAATATCAGTGCTAGGAGCAGCTACAGACTCCAGTCTACTCTCCAGTCAAAGCTGTCTCTCAGCCTCCCACTCCACAGAGGTGGTGATTGAAATAAAAAAAGGTGGCTGATTGCAAAGGAAGGGATAAAAGGATTGGAAATCAGCACATTCAAAATCAAAAGCAGGCTGGAAGAAAGGACAGCAAGTGTGAGTAAAGGACACAAAAAAGTGAGAGCAGTGTTAATAAGGAGAAGAAGGATGAGGAGGATTTGTACAGATGATAAACTGGAGGTTTGGTGGGTAGATCCTGTATTTGGGTATTTGTGTGGGTGTTTCAAAAGTGATTGTTAGGAGGGTTGCAAAGGGATTTGAAGCACTGGTAGCTGTGCTAGTGCTACAAATCTCCCAGACAAGTATTCTCTACCCTTCAAATGTCTTGCTCTCGCTTTTCTTATGTCTTATGTTCCTTTTTTGTGTTTTCCTCAAAGAAGAACAAAGTTTTGTTTCACATTCATCTCTTTGGTTATTGTACAATCCTCAATAGAAGTTTCATGTGCATTCATTCAGTGAGAGAAAAAAAGACACCAGGTCCTTAATAAACAGGAAAATCTCAGATAGCACTTGTTTTGCTTGAATGGATTTTTCTGCATCATGCATCATCGGGCGTTGTGTTGGTCCATCGTAGGCTCCTGAAGCTCAGCTTATCAGGAGAGCTCTCGTATTAAAGAGATAAACAGTACAAGTCTTATTTTTTATGCATTTTTGCTTAGCTCAAATATTAAACTAAGCTTTCGAAAGAAATGAGCAAGTGGTGTCTTATCACTTTTCAAGACGGCCAGCACTGCAGCTGTTTTGTACTTCCATTCAGCCGCCACTCTGATATGCAAGCCAGCAGGCCTTCAGCCCCGGATGGTCTGTGATATCGAAGGTTTCATAAGCACAGAGAGCAAGGAAGTTCAACTTAAAAGATGCAACCACTCAAAAGGTTTGACCCCAAACTATTTCTTTTTAACCTCAGACACTTCTCCAAGAGAGTAATAAACATGAAAAAGTGCCTCATTGCAGTAATAGCAAAGGAAGTAGGGGCTTTTTCTTGCATGGGGAGCCCCAGTGGAGCCATTGGACACAAGGTTAGAGCTCATTTCATGAGAGAAGTTTAACTCAGCTAAAGATAAGTTAAATTATTCATGCAAATCAATTTTTAAAATCAAGTCGAAGTTATTTCTGAAACTAATTAGCACATTTTCAGCACAGTGGTTCACTTGGGTTATTACCTTTAAGACAAAACCACAAGCTTTATGATACCATTGCTACATCCCTGAACAATAATGCTATATAGCTTCACAGTTATTTACAGACATTAATAATAAGGCAGCCTTAAGGTCACTTGTAACAAAAGCGAAAGGAGACTTCCACATGCTCAGGTTTCAAGGTGGAAAAGAAGGCTGTGAAAAGTTTGCTCTGTCACCCGGGGAATGCTAACTCAATGTTATTAGGCCCTTGAGCAAGGCACACAACCTCAGTACTTCTCACAGTCAGGACCAAGCATCAGAATGATAAACTTGCTCTGGAAATAAAAAAAAAATGTTTTTAGCTTTCCACTTGGCATCCACCTCACCCAGGGGAAAAATGCAGGCATCACATCAGAGCAGGTACCCTGTACAATGGACACTCTCTGCAGTATTGAAAGTAAACACTGTGGAGTCATAATACGGCAAACCTCTGGCTTATGTGTTTCGTATCTCTCTGGGCACCGGGGCTGTCATCTTAGGTCACTTCAATCACAAATACAGAGGATGAAGTGACGACAAAAACACTGCTGCTGGCTGGCCTTTCCACTTGTTATCAGTCCCCATCACCGCTCATTGAAGCGACAGCTCTTTATCACAGCCATCTTCACATTATGATGACCAAGTGCTCCCCTAACACTGAGTAATTGTTGTAGCTTAAATAACCAACATGATGATGCAGCCCTTGTCTGGAAAGAAATATTGATGTTTTTAGCTCTCATAGTCACATATAATGAGGTCACCTAGCAGGTCACAGGAAGAAAGACATAAAACTGGTGTTTTTTTTGTTGTTTTTCTTTAAGATGAAAACTATTTTCAAAATGCATCCTGTTATGTTTGGCTTTAAAGAATTATTTTTGGATTTTGATGCTCTGCAATCATTTTGTTATAGTGAGGTAATAAGCTGGTGTACAGCAGAACAGTCTTTACCTAAACTCAGATAAAGTGAATAACAGCACTCCCTGACTGCACCAGCCTCTCCAACAATTCATAATGTAGAAGCTCCTCAGAAAGTCCAAGGCATTTATCTGACATCTGAACTCCTATTTTAATCAAACACCTGCAAAATGAACAAGTTTCATCAGTGGTCCCAAACAATCCATTGACAGTATCCCAGTGATAGATACCACATATCCTGAGTCCATTTGCCAGCAAGCTGAGGTGTGTTAGCTGGCACAAGATGAAGCTACACAATATTAGACAGGTCGTTCTAATATTCTGGCTATCAAATATGTAAAAGAGTAGAAATGTGTCAAAAACAGAAAATAATAGCCAGGAATGCGATGAAGCAAAGCTATTTAGTATAGTGGTGAAATAATTTCATAATAATGTGGATACATACTAACAATTATATTAATCTGTGAAGTTGGATTTGGTTATAAATAAAAAAAATGAAGGTATAAATTTATAAACTGAATATTATAATTATGCCCTTTATCCTCTCATATTCCCAACTTACCTATTGTTAAAACCAAGCTACTATTACTTTATTACTAGACTGAGATTCTTCAGTGCACCTAATAGCTGACTGCATGACACTGGAAGCTGATATTTTTTTGACAAAACATGCACTAAACAGTAACAGGGACAGTTTGTAGAGACAATAGATCATAAAACAAAGACCATGAAATCATGTCATGTCTTGTGCATGCAGAGTGTTTTATACATTTGTATTAATATTTTTATAATATTTTCAACTTTTTTTGATAGAAAAACATCTTAATGCCTGTATTTTATATGATTGGGTGTGTTTATGCTGATTAAATACTTTTTCTCATATTTATGCTGCCTTATTTACATTTTATTTGGTACCGAAACAATTTAAATGACTTTGGTGTAAGTGAACGACAGTAATTATCATCAACTCTAGGAAGCTTTTTAAACCTGGTAAAGTAAGTGGTAAAGTAACCCTGTTTGGCAGGTTAGAAACAAATATATTCTGGCTGGCTGAAGAGTAAAGCCAGTTTAAATCACTTTCATAAACTCTGACCATATAACAAGCAAATAAATGTTGCTTTTTGGAATAGACTTGAATCTGAAGCTTTTGTGTGGCTTAATTATCTAAAATAATGCCTTTTCTATTCATATTTATTAAATATTTTACATATATAACCTCATGTATAATTTGACTTGACTTATTATTGGTCATTATGGAGATTTAAAGCCCAATTTCAAGATTATGTCTCTGTCATTCTTTTTTTTAGAAGTTAAAATTCATATAACTAACACTTTCAGACTGCAAGGCTTGTCCAAGGCTGCCTATTCTGCATTTGCTGGCAAATATCATTCACAGAAATATTATCCAGGAGGAAAAAGAAGAGTATTCACAGTGCAGCTTCAGGTCCAGAAAATTCAGAGACAAAAATTTAACAAAT